AAATTTGAAAAAATTTTCGAAGAAGTCTTTTTGCATATATAATTATTGATTAGCTTGGTAGTATGAAAAAATGAATTTGAACACGAAAAGTTTTTGTCTTAGATATATTTTCGTCGAAAGTTTTACTAGTATAGTAAAAGCGTTCGATTAAAACACATCTAAAGGAAAAAGATTCGTCTTCTAATTCATTCAATCATACCGCAAAATCAATCAACCATATTATATGTAAAAAGCTTTTTTTTTTCTAAAAATTTATTTGCGTGTACCATTAAATTGTCGAAGGAAAAAATCCAGTTAATTAGTAGTTTTCATCATGCGAAGAGACGATCATTTACGGTCGTAACGCTCAACTTGGATAGCAATCAATGTGAACGACTTCTTTGTTTTTGTTCCGTTTTTCCAGTCGTCATTATCTTCAACATTTATTGACGGACAACACTTTCACTCTTCAGAAAATGAATTAATGATTTACGTGATACTAACTAAGCGGTAATAATTATTCGAAGGGGAGATTGAATTCTGTATTCAGCACAGTATTAGAAGCAAATGTCAGCAAGAAACATTTTGAATGTACTGCCAACTTTGTTTACGTTAGAATTGAAGCAGTTCGAGAATAGTAGTTAGTTTGAATAGTATTTGTTCAATCTTTTTTACTTTCTTCTCATGTACTGCAAGAAAACTTTTCATTTCAACAACAATAATTTTTCCCTATCCATTGAGCTTTGCTAAAGTTTCAGTATCGACAAGAACAGAATCTTTTTTAAAGTATCGGTGTCATTGATTGATGTTACCAGCAAAAACTCTATAAAACGTCGGTAAAGTGTATCCGCAAGGACAAAATTCTACTTTAAATTACGATCACATAGTATACAACCGAACAGAAAACTGATGACTAATTCATATATAGAATATAAAACTTGATTAAGAAGTTCACATTATTGAATAAAGATTTGCGTTATAATCTTTTAATCATTATCTAAGATATCATTTTTATTGAATATATATGAAAATATCTTTTTTTTTTAAACATATTTATCAAACATTTACATAGAATAGTAAACAGAAAAAAAAATAATAACAATTTGATCTGACCATCGATTTCTAAGAAAAAAATACTTTTATCTGACAGGAAAAAATATATCTATCTATATATATATATATCTGTACAAAGCCAAAATATAAATCTATTCTATTTATCGAACACGAATAAGAACTTTACGTTGCATACGATATTGAACATCACCACGACGAACCATTGCATGAAGAACTTTATAAATAGCACGTTCAGAATAATTCTAAAAATTTTCAAATAGATTTTTCTATAATGCTTTATTTTATTAAATTAATTCGTACTTGTCGAATAAAATCTTGAACAATAGCATGTTCTGATACTTGTGAGCCAACTACAAATCGACGGCGAACTTGTTTTTCAATACGAGAAATTTCTTCTTGATCTTCACGTGTTGTAAAACCTTCGATACCTAATAGAAAAAAAAAACAATTCAAATATATTCAAAAAGAAAATAAACGTACCAGCTAAATTTCCTGAACCAGCTGATGAAAGTGTTGAAACATGAAATAATCGAAGTGCTTCATCAACATCAGTTTCATTAGCAAATGGTGCTAAACGCATTTTAGCTAAACTTTCAGAAATACGAACTAATGCTTCAAGTTGTCTAATCAAAAAAAAAGAAAAAAGAAAATTTTTATATAATTAAATTCTTAAAATAAACATCTTCTTACCGAACTGTAATTGGAATTGCTGTTTTTTTGCCAACTTCTCGTTCATAAATACTCGTACCATTACGCATAACAACATATTGATTACGTAATTTTTCCGAAGCACTTTCCGAAAGACGTGGTCCACATTTACTAATTAGATAAAAGTTTTCAATTTTTTTTTTTTTTTTTGTTAAATATGTTAGAAAAATTAATTTTACCTTCGACAATAAGCAATATATTTTTTTAATTTTTGAATACTCATATCACCACCATTATCATCTGTATTTAATATATTCATATGAATTTTAATAACATGTTTAGCTAAAGTCTAAATAATAATAATAAAACATATTCCTTTTTTTTATTTTTTTTTTAAACATACTGTATCTCGTTTTTCATCATGTTCATCTTTAATAATAAATATCATATCAAAACGTGAAAGAATTGTTGGCATGAAATCTAAATTATCATCGCCTTTTAAATCATCCCATCGACCATAAATTGAATTAGCTGCTGCTAATATACTACATCGAGAATTTAATGTTGTTGTTATACCAGCCTTAAGAAAAGAAATAATAATTTATTACATAAATTACTTTTTTTCTATTACTTTAGCAATTGATATTGTTTGTTGTTCCATTGCTTCATGAATAGCAACACGATCATCTTCACGCATTTTATCAAATTCATCAATACAAACAATACCACCATCAGCTAATACCATTGCACCACCTAATATATATAATCATCAATATTTAATGTAAAAATAAATTAAATTTTTCTTTTTTAACCTTCAATAACAAAATTTTTTGAACTTGGATCACGTATTACACTTGCCGTAAGACCAGCTGCACTACTACCTTTACCACTTGTATAAACGCCAATTGGTGATACTTTTTCAGCAAATTTTAATAATTGTGATTTAGCTGTACCAGGATCACCAACAAGTAATACATTAACATCACCACGACGAAATAAACCATCGGGTAATCTAAAAAAATTAAATATTCAATTTTTTCTTTTTTTACATATGTTTAAATTAACCGTTTTCTTGAACCACCAAATAATAAACAAGCAATAGATTTTTTAATATCTGTTGCACCATAAATTGATGGTGCAATACTATTTGCAATTGTTTCATATACATCTGATGTTTGAGAAAATCGAACAAATTCTTCTTCTTCAGCTGTTGTTAATGTTTGAGCTGATGAACGTCCAACACCATCTGTATCAATACGAATACCAAGAACACGAACATAGGGTTGACGTGTTCCAATTGTTGATTTTTCTTTTCCTTTCATCTATTAACAAAATATAATGAAAAACAATAATTTTTCTTCGTGAATTTTTTCTTTTTTTTTTTTTTACTTTGTTCATTGGAATATTTCGTTTAATACAATAGATACCGACGAGTGTTATTTTACTTCCCGGCATTGCACGATCAACAAGATTTCTATATAAAAAAATAAGATAAATCTAATGAAAAAAAAATTTATAAAGATTTTATTTTACCGATCACAATAAAGTTGAATATGTTTTGGCATTTCACCATGTGGTACAAATTCTGGTGCTTCCTGTAATTTAAGAATTTGAAAATCAATACATTGACATTTATCAGGCATAACAAAATATGGATCAAGTGGACATGCTGGTTGACCAGGTTGAGTTCTAACAATCAAAAAAAAAAAATTAATGATTATTCTTCATTTATAAAAATAGTAAATTTCTTTTCGATATTTACTAAATATGGAGATTTTACTGTGGTTAAAAATTTCTTGATAAATGGTAAAAGGCATATATCCATGACAACATAAATCATATTTGACTCATTCATAGTGAGTAATATGAATGACTCATTTTTTTTCGATCATTATAACTTAGCATAAAAGATCTGATTTCAATCGGAAAATAGCAAACTCTCAAAACAACTCGCTATTTATCGTTTCTCACAACGAAATTTTTTTAAATATACTTACACACTATTACATTTTCTTGGCATAGCATAACCTTCTAAACCAGGTTTAACTTTAATATTCGAAATAACATTTCGACATGAACGACATTGTACAGCAATATGTGATGCTTTTGTTCGTATACTACTTGCTGCAATAACAATACCAACAGTTTTAATTAATTTTGATACATATTCTGACTAGAAAAAAAAAAATATCAATGATAATAAATAAATATATCAAAAAACTAAACAAACTTTTAAATGTCGAAGATGAAGTGGATGTGCATCATTCATTAACATAATTTGTATATCATGCATATCAATATCATCATCCGGACGTGGACGAGTTATTTCATCAGCAACTTCTTTAGCTGCTTCTTCAAACTAAAACACAAATAATTGTTTTTTTTTGTAAAAAAAAAAAAAAAACATAATATTTCGGGTGACGGACATTTCGCACTAAGTCATTCCGAACTCCTGTCATGTGTCCGGGTGTTCGGAAATGATTTTTGACCTGGACAACTTTCATTACGAACATCCTGTCTTAGTTTTCTTATGTCTGGAGATCGTAATGAAAAGATGGTGCGAAATGTCCCATTCCCCATATTTATATTTTCATCTTACTAATGGTAAAAGTTCTGATGGTTGTTTTTTAAGATGATCACAAAGATTATCATCATAATCACTTAAATGTCTTAATTCAATATCAATCCAATATCTTCGACTATTATAATTACGTCGTAACATTTCCCTAGAAAATAATTATGATAAAAAAAAAATTTTTTTTTTTCTCAATGTCATATTACAAAAAAAAAAAAAAAAAAAAACCAAAAAATCTGACTTACCGATAAATAAAAAGATTATTAATATGAAATTCTCGTATAAACATTTTAAATTTTTTTTTAATCGATGCTCGATTAAGATCATTCTCATTATCAAATTCATTATTATTATCAGTACCAAAATTATCCGAAAAAAATACTCCAACATCATCAAATCCAGCCATCTAGAAACAACAACAACAGAAACAAAAAAAAAATTTAACTAATTCAATATCTTTTTTTTCTGTTTTCATCTTGTTTTTTTTCTATCAAAAGAGAAGAATGTTTACATACACTTAACTCACTCTTTGTACACACGAAAAAAAAAGGAAAAAAAAAGAGAGAACTGTACGAGTGCGTGTATGGTTTAAGTTAATCCCACGCGGTAATGAAGCAAAACGCAAAAGACAAAAAAAAAGAAGAAGCCTTGTTTTATATGAACAAAAAAAAAAAAGAAAAACTGCTTTCAATAATAAATTATAATCATATAAATGTTTTAATTCCTAAATTCTTTGAACACGTTCACCTTGTACAACAGGCATATTTTTACGTATTTCATTTTGGCCATATTCTTTATAATCAAATGTACAATTATGTTCATTTGCATAACGATGTAATGAACAAAATTGACCACCACAACGACAATTAAAACCTAAAAAATTCCAAAAAAATAATTAAAAAATAAAAATAAAACAATTATCTTACCGGTTAAACCAAGTTTTTTATTACACGTTTCCCATGAACAACGATTACGTTTTTTCTTTTCGACATTAACAGGAGAAGCTTCTACAATTATTATATTAATCGTTTTTTTTTTCAAATTTCATTTTGCTTACGTAATGAATTTGTTTCTCCAATAATGGAGTCATTCTTTGTAATTGCGTCAATTTCATTTGATAATATTGGTGCAGATGAAACATGAAGAAGATGACTAGCATCAGTTTCTTGTTGTAATTGAACATCACTGTTATCATTTTCTATTGAATTAGTTGTATTATCTTCAATGACTTGATCTGTTAGAAGATTTTGAGATGTCACAGGAGTATTAGAAGATGAATAATAACCTTAATAATAGAAAAAAAAAAAAAAAAAAAAAAATTAATTTTTTTTTTTTTGAACTATTAATTAAACACATACTGTTAAATGAATTCGTTCGTCCAGCATTATATGAACGATTAACATGTTCACGATAACATTTTGAACACATGCCTTCAAATTGTGATGAACCATAAAATCCACAATTATTTGTACAAAATGTTGGATTAGATTCGGGTTGTTCCATTGTTTGTTTGTTTTTTTTTTACAAAGAATATACAAGGTGTTTAAATACTGTAGTACACTGAATAATCTGGAAAACAAAAAAATATGCATCATTTATAGTTGGATAACGATGACGTTGTGTAACATCACGTGTGAATCACAGGGATACAAATATACGTCACATGATTGTCATCGGATGCGTACAAAAAGAAAGAGAGGAAATTTTTTTTTTGTTTTTTTCTGTTCTTTGTCTTGATGTGAACAAACAATAATAGTAGTGGAAGCAAAAGAAAAGGAATAACAGAAAGAATATGAGATGGGATTTGTACTTCGAAAATCAAGGTCAATAGGAAATTCTAGACATAAGGAATATCATATGATGAAATTTCAGAAACGGAAAAGAATAGAGTAATTTCAAAATTTTTGTGTAAAAAGACCTTGATATATATATATATATACTTTAAGATTTCTCAATTGAAAATAAAATTTGAATATAATATAACTCACATATGTTCAATGGATGTATGGAATTGAAGAAATAATGGAATGAATTGACGACGTTATGTTCAAATGACAATAAGTGGATATGGACAGAAGACAAAAAACAATTGTAATCACATGGGATCAACCATAAATTAACAAAGTTTACCTCTAGCGTGATGTTAGTTGTAAGAAAGAAAACTTTAAAAACAAAAATGATTGCTAAAGACAAAATGTCAGATAGAAAATAAATGAAAATGTTTATAAAAAAAAAAAGAAACAGAAGAAACTAAGAAAAAAATTCGTTTTTTTTTCAGTTTATTTCAAAGACTTAATTTATTTAATGATAAAAACCATTTCGCTAATGATCACACTTATTTGATAAGAAAGATGGCGCTAAATATCAATATTGAATGTAAAAAGTAACATTTCCTATCATTTGATTCTTATGAAAAAAATCACGTATACTAGAAAAAAAAAAGTATCATATTTGTAAATGTAAATATCATGACTTGGATGGAGAACAAAAGGTTCTTCTAACATAGAAGTACATCAAACAAGAGTAAATTACGCAAAGCACTCACAATTTTGATAAAAAATGCATTGTTTCTTTTTATTGCTGGAAAGATATGGAAAAGGTAAAAAGTAAATTTTAGATTGGTATTTTATACTTTGGACTTCTATTTGAAATGATGAATAATACAGCGTGAAGAGAGTAATGACTCTACATAGGTGTACCACTCATTTTCAATGCCATCGCATTATTGAATAAGTTATTAATGAATCGACCATTTTTTTTTTTTTTTATTTGCTAAAGTTTCTTACAAAAGATGAATAATCTTTTTTTTTTCTTCTTTTTGATGAAACACGATCTAAAAGAAGTAGTGAAGTACAGGGAATGGAAATTTGAGTACTCCTCCGTTTAATGGATAGACAACAGATCTTAAGAAACAAATAAAAAAATGTTCAATGTTTTTCATAGAACTTTTTCCAATATAACATTTTTCTAATGAATTAATTTCGACTTTGATTGTACTTTATATTTCTGAGAAAATTACAGCTTAAACACAATAATTATGTCGTTTGGCTATGCATAGCGTTCTTATCGGCTGACGTGACTGATAATTACATTAGCAAGGACATGTCAAGTCCACGAAAGACACCTGTGTAACGCCCTCTTACATCACCACCTTTTTTTTTTCGAAGCGCTTGAGAAGGAGAGCACAATGCTTCTCTTGCGTCATATGCTGTGACGAATACTTTAGAATGAATACTCCCTTCTAACAGTAGGTGATGATTCATTAACTGAAACATGTTGATAGTTATGCTGCGTGTATGTATGTGTGGAATAACTGGAATTTTTGATTTCTTTAGAAATCAGTATCCTATATAAATGGTACTTTGGAGTACTTTTATTTCCATAGAATGACACTATGAAACTAGAATGTTTGGAATTTAATAAATTCTAAATGATATAGGAATATTATATGTTTTCAATTATATAGATGATATTTTTCTATAAAAATTGAATAAGGTTCATATTAGTATTATTAAATATTGTTCAATGGTTATCTATAAAAGAATCTAGTTTCTCGCAATGATGTCAACACAATTGAGCGAATATTAAAAAAAAATATATCCTAAAAAACTGCTAAGAAATTTCAATAAAAAAACAAAATGTGATTATCTTTCATTGATCAATAACGATTAATTTTCAAGTATTAAAGCAGTGTCTTAGATCTTCTTCTAGTACTACATTATCCTTGGCTTCGGATAGGATATATATTTTCTATCAATATGTTTATACTAAAACTCTCTATATGGTATTCATTAACTTATCAATATAGTCTAAATCTCAGTGGGAAGACATTTCTTTACAAGAAGTGTACTTACAAAACCATTACTATAATAAAAGTACCCAGCCTCTTTCAGCTTGACAGATAATTGAAAAGAGAATTATTCATGACTGGCTTTTTTTTTTCTTCCGGAAACTGATTGTGCATGGAAAGGAAAAAACAAGTGTGAAGATTTTCAACTTAATTCATCATCAAATGAATTAACTTTTGACGGGTGTCTAATGATAAATTAATTATTTTTGCATAAACTATGAGATTTATTTTCAAAAAAACAAAAAAAAAGAAAAGAAAAATATATAGTAGATAAACAAACAATCTTAATTGAAACAAAATCAATAAAGCATAAATGATTGCTTAATGTTGATATTCATTCGATAGAAATTATCAAAATATTACGAACAATCCAATTGATCCATTTCATCACAAGCATCTATATAAAGAAAAGTATTCGAATATTAATCGAACAAAAATCAAAACAAATTTTTATTACATTCAGGAAAGAGAGATGTTCGACAAGTTGGATTAACCGAATCTGAAGATAATCGTTGTTGAGACTATGAATAAAAATTAATTAATCTTAAAAAAAAGAAAAAAGATGATTCAAATATCATACTGAATTATTGCTTGAATTAAGATGATCAATTAATAAATTGACTTCACGATGAATTTCTTCTGAATAATTTTTTTCATTTATTATTTGTAATATCTAAAATAAATTAATTCGTTTGATTTTATTTATTTATTTATTTTGTCTTACTGTTAATAATTTTATTGAGTTAAACATTGGTAATAATATTTCCGTATCTTTTTCATTAAAAATATTACGTAATAATGATAATAAACATATTAAAAATCGTTCATCTGTACATTGTTCAAGTAATGAGTAAATCCGATCAATTGTTAAACCTACAAAAGTTTTCATTTTTTGTTTCTTTTTTTTTTCATAAAACAAAATTTCATCATTTTTTACCATTAATAATATCTTGTTTAACTTTAAGTGTTGATAAGTATGAAAGATTACGTAAAGCCCATATACCATTAATAGATAATTCATGATCTGGATGTGTAAGAAATGAAACAAGTATATCAAGTATACCACCTGAAAGTAATCTCTATGTAAAAGAAAACTAATCTTTTAAGGACAAAAAAAAAGAAAAGAAATTTAATTGAATTTACTGTACGACAAGTAGAAAATTCTAGTACACTATTACTAATAACAGATGATGCAATTTTAACTAGAGATAAATCACTTGATTTAATAGCATCGAGTAAAATATCACATATTGTATCATTAAATGTTGTTCGAAGTTGATGAACACTTCGAGATAAACCATGAAATAAACATAGTGATGCTAATTTTAATGATAAATGTGGTGAATGATAAAATTCAATTGCTGTTGGAATTAAATCTAAATTATTAAAATTATTCTTAGTGACTTATATCTGACAAATATCGATTTCAATATCATCTCTATGACTATGATAATTTTGTATTATGTTATATATCTTAAATTAAACTAACTCAATATTTGAAACTCTACTAATTCAATTGAATATATTATCTATGTATTAATTCGATATACAATATTGTTTGACAAAAAAACAACGTTTCAAGTTTTAATATTGTACTTAGGGCAAACCAAAAGTTCGTAGAACGGTTTTAAAGAACCTTGTCGGATAAGATAATCTATTCAGAAATGAAAAACCAAATATACCATGTTGTAGAGCTTTTTAGGGCGCGTCGAATGGTATATAATAAATCCTGTTTTCATAAGACTTTGAAGGAACTAGAGTCAATTTACTGATAGACGACTACGCACCCATACTCACACCCTCACCTAAGTATGATAGGTTACTGAATATTGTGATCCTTGGGATTAGTCGAAAATATTTGTAAAATATTTTTTCTCACATACGATTTTGCAGAGGTTTTGACGGGCTACAACCTCATATATGTAGCATCTCCGGTCATCTTGTCAGTGTGGGTGTGTAGTCGTCTATCAGTAAATTGACTCTAGTTCCTTTAAAGTCTTATGAAAACAGGATTTACTGTATATCATTCGACGCACCTCAAAAAGCTGTACAACATGGTATATTTAGTTTTTCATTTCTGGATAGGTTACCTTATCCGACAAGGTTCTTTAAAACTGTTCTACGAACTTTTGGTTTGCCCTAAGTATTTCATATCTCTTACTTTCTTGATCGGCAATTCGTTTTTTAATATCTTCATGATGTGATGAAAGAACTGCAAGTAATATTAATGATGATGAACGTATTTTCATAAGTATTGTTTCATCGATAATTTCATCAAAAATTTTATTTGGTGTAAATAAATAACTAAATAATTTACTTAATAATTGTTCTGTATACATTGCTATATGATGTAATGTACTATTACCATTTAATAGATAAATAAGTGTTTCAAGACATGCAATATACAAATAAATACATTTATTCATAATGGATTTTGTACATAAATGAATCAGTGTTGTTAATGCTTTATGAGATATATATGGATCATCACATGATAGCACCTTTGCTTTGCAAAGATTAACAAAAAATTTCGATGCATAATATGATATTATAACTGGTCGATTGATTGTATTTAATAAATTTGATATTATTTGACATAATGTCTGATTTGTTTCAGTTGATATTGTAGTTTGTAATCGTTGAGCAACATCAA